GAGGTTCTGGAGTTGAATCTAGCTAAAGCCTTAAACAGCGAGACAAGTGCTTTACCTCTGAGCTGTCGCCCCAGCCCCATGTAACGTCTTTTAAACTCAATATACACAGTACAGTTGTGTCATTGCTTAAATGTTCATGAAGTGGGTGCTTTCCTATCTCGCTCCCCACTTTTTGTCTTGAGACAGTGTCATGAAGCCCAGGTTGGCCTAGAACTCTATGTGTAGCCTTGTACTCCTGCTCTTTCTGCCTCGGTTTCCTAAGTTTTGGTATTAAAGATGCATACTTCCACACCCAGCTTTAGCTTGACTTTTGTGGCATGAATACAAAGATAATAAAAGCATTAAAAATTCATTTAATTATACAATGTTTACTTGAGCTCAGACCATTAAAATCATTGGATAGTACTTTAAAATTAATAAAGTTAATTTTAAATAAAATTAATTTTAAATACAAATTAATGTTAAAACCATAGACATTTAAAATTACTGCTATTTAGTTAGAACAATGTCCCTATTATATATAATTTAAAAATGCTAGATAAATTTTAAGTAGTTTCACTATAAGTAAATGATAATTGTTTGGGGGGTATAAGTATGTTTGCTGTATTTGAACATTACACAAAGTACAGCATATACTAAAGCCTTACATGGTACCTCAGAAATGCAGTATTTTTTTTATCAGCTACAATTTAAAGAGTTGATCCTCCAAATTCAAGTGGTAACTGTTTTAACCAGGTTTACTGGTCATTTAAACCTTATTTCCTTTTTATTTAATTTATTATTTTTGTTTTGCTTTGTTTTGGTTTTTTGGTTTTTTTAAGGCAGGGTTTCTCTGTGTAGCCATGGCTAGACCTCTCTTTGCTGACAAGGCTGGCCTCAAACTCACAGAGTTCCACCTGCCTTTGCCTCTTGAGTTCTGGAATTAAAGGTGTGTGCCACCACTGCCCAGCCAGTCATTTTAATTTTAGATAGAATCAAAGATCTAAAACCTTACCAAGAGTTTGGGGGCTCGCTGGAAAGTATATTTTCACCTTCTTTCTACTTTCAAGTCTTGCTCCTAGTGGATTTTGTCTAGAATATCAGTGGGCCCAAAGCAGCCCTTTTATACAATTTCCTTAGAACAGCTTCCCTGGGCATTCGGGTACATTGCCCACTTTATATATGACTTAGGGGAAAGAAGGGCGTTTACTTCACAGATATGAAACTATCAGACAGAGGTGCTCCTAGCAAGTACCCAAGCTACTGATTGCTGTGAGGTCCCTCCTGCCTACATGCTAGGACAATGGCCATGCTTGGTCTTCATGTGGTTATGAGGATGGAAGGGGAAAAAGAGTGCATTTTGGGTATCATGTGTAGAGAATCGAGCCAAACCATCCGCTTTGGGCTAAACAGGGTTTGGGTCAAGGCTTCTCTGCTTCCTGGCTTTGTGACCTCAGATGAATTAGTCGACTTTCTCATAGCTGCTGCAGCATTGCTGAAGTGGGAACGATACCACCCTATTGGGATTTGGGGAGTGAGTAAACTTGGAGGTACTTCTTATGTGCCTGGCTCAATGCCGGTGCTTGAAGAGAATTAGTTTCCTTCCCCTTCAGTTGATAAACACTTCTTTTGAAGGTTGCATGCAAAAACATTAAATATCCATTAACTGCATTATTCAAGAAAAGTGAATCTTGAAAAGGCATCTTACTTCAGATCTTTCAGTGCAGCAATAATCACTTCCATTTGTCTTTCTTGCAAATCTGTATTTTCTGTGTGGCACTGGGTTTATGTATGATGTTTGTGGAAAATTCTCAGCAGTGTGAGGCTCTGCTGAACATAACCTTCTTTCAGGTTTTATGGAAATGTTAGGTATTGGTGGTGTGATTTGAAGCTCAAGTGACCGAGGCCTAGAACTGTCCTGGAGGTATCACCTGTGAGTGGCATCCTCAGAGGTGGATAGATAGTGAGGAAGGATTTAAGACTCGGTTAAGACTGACGTGGTTGGATAGCTCTCACACAGCACAAGGAAGGTGAGGTTTAGCAGGAGCAAGAACTCCCCCACCTATCTCCCTCAAAAACAGAGGAGAGGCTGGGAGATGGCTTAGTTGGCAGAGAGCCTGAGATGCAAGTATGAGGACCCCAGCATCCACATAACGACCAGGTGGGATGGCTTGCATGTGCAATATTTGATGTGCAATATTTGTGTTGAGGAAGGGGAGACAGGTGGATCCCAGAGCTTGCTGGCCAGCTGGCCTAGACATTTGGTGATCTCCAGGCTTGGTGAGAGATCTCCTTTCTAAGACAAGCTGGTGAGCGACAGAAGATGACACCCAAGAGTGACCTCTGGCTGCCACACATACATGCACACCCACGTGTACATGTACCAATGCTCAGTAGATCAGAATGCAGCACCGGGTTAATAAGTAGTCCTGTCACCCAGGGCTGATTCAAGCCATTGACAGAAACATCTGTGTACAGCCCATGCAGCTGCTGCTAAATTCTGGGGTGCCTGCGTTCATGTCAGAAACCATCGCTGGCTCTACCCTTCATAATGCTTCATATCCTTAGGGGCAAGGAGGACTAAAGACTTAAACAGAGACTGTTTTTACCCTGTCATCTAGTCAGTCGTATTTGCATGCAAAATCTATTCGACAGCTTGTTTTCATACTGCCTCTGAAGTAGGAAAGGTATTTTTGCATATTTAAGCAGTTATTTCTAAAAGGACAGAAAGAAAAAAAATAAACAACAAAAACTCTATGTAACCCGCCAAGGCTAAATAAAATATTCATCATGTGGCGATTTATAGAACAGGTCACTTATCCCTGTCCTAGAAAGCTTGACTGATCTCATTAAGCATTCATACTGAAGAGAATAAGGACTTTCCAGTTGTTCCCCAATGTGCGACAACCACTATGTGTCTGAGCCAAGCTTAATGGGCACTGTTGAGGACACAGAAATGTGTCTCATTGTTTATGCCTTGCCCTCTCTACACTGGGCAGTTCCAACTTTGTCCAGAATGTGGAGTCTCAATCTCTCTAAGCAGCTCATGCCTCCGTCACCTCCTCCTGGAAGCTTCTAGGTGGAAGGCTTCTCATTACAGTTGACAGTTGTGGACTGCAGGTGCCTGGGATGCATGATATCAACTCCTTTGCAGCCAACCTGAAACAGGATGGCAGGACCAGCTCAGGAAGGGCCCCTGGGAGGATTTATCCTCCTCTACTCATGCTGAAGTGGGGGACAAATTTTAGGGTTATGTTGAGTTGGTGCACAAACATAAATTTGGGAAGGGGACAATTTTGGAGCTGTAATATATAGATTGAGGCACTGGGGAGAAGAAGCACAAGGTGATGTTGGAGTGTCTTCTGTTTTGTGTTGATTTCATTGGTTAATAAAGAAACTGCCTTTGCCTTTTGATAAGACAGCAGCTTAGATAGGTAGAGTAGACCGAACAGAATGCTGGGAGAAAGAAAGCAGAGTCAGGCAGATACCATGAATCTCTGGCCCGAGACGGACGTAGGTTAGGATCTTTCTCGGTAAGCCACAGCCTTGTGGTGCTACACAGATTTATTGAAAATGGGTTAATCAAGATGTGAGAGTTAGCCAACAAGAGGCTAGAACTAATGATCCAGGCAGTGTTTAAATGAATACAGTTTCTGTGTTATTATTTCTGGGGCTAAGCTAGCCATGCAGGAGCTGGGCGAGATGAAAAGCAGGCCTGCTTGCCTCATCACTACAACGAGGGAGTGAGGGACCATATGGATTGGGGACAGTTCCATTGTGGGTTGATGAGGAGGTAGTGACTGAGAAAGAGTATGGGATTCCAGTGGTCACTGAGGAGTCAGTTCAGGCTGATTAATAAAACAAGGGCAGGACTGGTGAGGGGGCTCCTGGGTAACAGGGGCTTCCTGCCAATCCTGATCATGTGAGTTCCTTCAGAAGAACCTATATGCTGGAAGGAGGGACCTGACTCCCTCAGGCTGTTCTCTGCACTCCATCTGTGCACCGTGGTGCCTGCACACCCCTTCTCCCCAATACAATTTCAATTTCAATCATGTAATACAATACTGGTAGATGTGGGTGAGTGTGAGCACCACAATGATACCTAGGGAACTGATGCTATAGCCATGTACTGCATAACAGTGCAGTCAAAAATGGGCCATGTACATGATGGTGGCCCTAGTAATCTTGTTGATATCATAGTAATTTTTGTGTTGGTCCACTTTATGATGTTTATACATTGAATAGCCATGTCTCCGAATCACACGGCTGTCTTTACCAAAGACAGTCATGGGCTGATAATATTAAAGGGACCACCTCATTAAATCCTTATAGCTATGTTACCGGGTGGTGGTGGTGCACACCTTTAATCCCAGCCCTCGAGAGGCAGAGGCAGGCTGATCTCTATGAGTTCGAGGATAGCCTGGTCTACAAGAGCTAGTTCCAGGACAGGCTCCAAAGCTACAGAGAAACCCTGTCTCAAAAAAAAATTCCTTATAGCAAGGGAAGGTCTCACAAGTAAATTAATTTGGCTTAGAGAGGTTGAGGTAAGTATCTAAGATTCTGGTATTAATAAAACGCAGAACCAAGCTGATTTGACCTGGTGCCTCAATTTTAAATTCCTTTGCTGTTGGAAGAAACTCAGTGGAAAGCACTTTAAGAATACAGAAAAGGGTGGATGAAAAAGAAACCTATAGCCTGCCTTTCCAGAAATGACCACTTCGGGTGAACGCTCTGGTAGACATCTATCTGGACACACAGCAGTATGCGTGAATTTTGTATAATTGAGGCCACCCCTGCCTGTTAAGTCTTATTTCAACTTATGTAAAGTTTTATATAAGTACTCTAAATCTTAGATGTTTCTCCCACTTAGAAGTCATCCTCTGATTTTCATGGGCGTATGGTATGCCACTTGAAGCCTGTCCTTTTTTTCTGCTGCACCGGCAGTGTCTAGCTCCTCGCAGGTTCTTGAGCAGTACAGCAAATGATCAGATTCTCACTTGTGCTTTCTCCTCTCTTTGCAGCATGCGCTCGATGCTGACAATGCAGGAGTCAGCCCGGTAGGAAACTCTTCCAACAGCAGCAGCCACTGGGACCTCGGAAGTGCCTTTTTCTTTGCTGGAACTGTCATCACGACCATAGGTATCCAACCATTTACTACTATCTTTTCCTCTGCAGACCCTTCTGAGGAATGGGTAGACAGAATTTGTCTTCTTAAACTGTGGGACCAGATTCTCCCTACCTGGTCCAGTGAACACAGCTGTTTCAGTAAAAAACCAGAGCAGGGTGGGTATTTCCAAATGAAGAGCATTTCAACAGAAGGAACCTAATGCCAAGGCAATGGGAGAAGGCACGGCCTGACCAGTTGAACTCAGATTGCTCTGTTGTGTTCAGATTCCATTGTAAAGATGGCACTTCTTGGTAGAATTCAGACAGTGGGATGAAAATGATCTACAAAGTTGGGTATGGAGGAACAAAACACCCTTTCTCCCTCTTTAGTTTTTTTTATTATTCCTGAGAAAATAACTTCCATCTCTTTGTCTGATGGTTTCAGTGCCTACCTCTGGGGTCTTATATACCAAACTGGTACTGCTACTTCTAGAATTTTCAGTTTTAGGGATTGTTTTTGAGCTTCCCACTGTGCAAGCGGAAGCGTTGGTCTCCTTCTTCCTTCCCGGTCCACTTCCTTGTTTCTGTCTTCCTAGGATAGTTTGACTACATAAAAACCTGGGTATTTGCCTGGAGCAGACCCTTGCACATGCTCTAGCAACTTACCCTCATATAAACCATCACTACTGCCTTTCTGCAACAGTGTCAGTCTTATTTTTATGAACCTTTTGTTTTCTGATACTCAGGTACTGTGAATTTTGTCTTGGCCATTATTTTATAATAGTATATAATAACCTTGATGTCTTAGTCATTAGCCAGTATGCATAGATCCTGATTATGAGTGATGGCATTTCCCTTTCCCATCTTTCTCCACCACACAATTTTAGCTGACACCATCTGTTTAGTGTTTGCCTTAACACGATTAGTGTGGCTTCTAGCATGTGAGTTGTCAGCTTTAAGTGATATGTGCATAGACATGGGGCAGAGGAATTGTCTTCTGCAATCAGGATCCCAAGACAGGTCCATTTGGCAAGCTACTTGCAATGGAAGAAGCCATATGGTGCTTTTGGATGGTTTAATTTGAATTCAAAGGTTTCAGATCCAGGGATATTGATGGTATAATTCTTAGCATGAGGCCAAAGGGCTGAAAATCCACAAGGCCAGTGGTATAAATCTTGTTGACTACAGGTCAGAGAGGTTGGAGTTCTGATGTCAAAGAGTAGGAGAAGCAAAATGTTTCTGAGTTGTACATGCTTATGTGAGAGAGACAGGCAGAGGGAGATATAGATAGATAGATAGATAGATAGATAGATAGATAGATAGATAGATAGAAAGACATCTTTTCTATGGCTTCCACTTTTAGTTCTATAATGCCCTCAGCCAATGATCCTGCCCACACTGAGGATGGATCTTCTACACTTAGTCCATCAACTCACATGACAATGCCCTGTGGAAACACCTTGAAACATTTTTACAGACACATTTGTAATAATGCTTTTCTGAGTAGTCATAATCCAGTCAAGTAAACTAAAATTAACCACCAACTCTCTAATCTAATTAGATGACAAGCTATTTTACATCTGCAATTCTTAAACTCATTAACACTAGCTGTTGTCAGAGTTCCAAGTGTCCATTATACATGTAGGTCTGCACCTAGAAGCCTTTATGACCTCCAAATCAGGTTAGGCCATTGGAGTTCACAGACTCCCTACACCCAACAGAGAAAGTATGTGACCTGGTCCCTCATATGCTATGAACTTTAGCCAATCCAAGGACATTGTAGTCATCCACCAGAGAAGAATGATGTCATGTTAGAATGTGTTTGACAGTCTGGTTATTAGAATGAAGAAAGGCATCATGCATTTTATTAAGAGGATTTGTAAAAGAATTAAATTCGAGAAAGTCTTGGCCATTTCAAAAGGTATACTTTGGAAAATGCTCTCAAAATGCCGGTATTGCATCCATGAGATTTTAGAGGATATTACATATAATAGATTGAAAAACCCTATTCATTTCCTTGTATGAAATTGCTAAATCAGAGTTTTGTCTGAGGCATTGACAGGACCCATGCTGGACTCTGAAGTATCGGTATGGCTTTCAGAAAAGCACTGATGGTATTTATTGACACTCACTTAGTGTTCCGACCACCCATCACTCATAATTTTTTTAAATTCATCTTTGTCCCAACAACAGTATCTACAATCTTCCCTTTCCACTCATGAGCCCTAGCTCTGGAGACGAATGACGATATCTATACAAAGCAATTCAGTCTGTGGCCAGAATAATCAGTTCAAAGATGGCCAATGAGAATTTTGCTTGAACTTTGGAGGAAATGGCTTCCTCACTTCCTCCCTGGTGGCAAATCCAGAGAAGGAAGAGCCAAGCCCCTGCCCCTCACTGTCTTCCCTTGGCAGGTTACTTTGTCTAGACTTGAGCTAACCCTGCTGGGGTAAGGAAAGGGCTAGAGGTAAGTGGATCCTGCTCACGGCCTGTGAGCTCTGAATGGAGCTACTTGCGAAAGTACTAAGAAACATTAAATTTTCTATATTTCCAGTCAGAGGGATTTCCCTTTGTTTAGGTTTAAGCTAGTTGACATTACATTTTCTATAATCTAGACATTTCTAACCAATGTATACAGACAGAAGAGAGTTGATAGAGGATTCCATAAGTATCTTTTGACCCCATGACCAGTGACTGATTCTTCTGGCTACTGTAGCCGCCATCTTTGGGCCACATAATCTTGCTTTAAGTCTTAGGCCAAGCTGCCCTGTTGATGAGCCCCTGGGTTCATGTGTCCTCGTCTTGGCTACTTGAGAGGCTGCTACCTCTGTGGAAAGAGGCTGGACACTGTGTCTAAGCAGTTGTATATTCCAAATATACACTCCAGCATTCCAAATCACAAAGATGCTGGCTACCAGCAGGCAACCAGTACAAAGCAAGGATGAAAAGAAAATCAAACAAAAATATAACCCACCACTCGAAGATTACAGGAGGCTGGGTCCTTGTCCTACGCAACTTTTCCCTTTCTTTCTCTTAACTAAGACATAATGAATTCTAAGTTGAGTACTATTTAGCTGAGTAAAATTTAATCCCAAAGTGTCATAACAAAGCCAGACAGCTAGAGCAGTTAAAATAAAATGGCTTGATGCAATGTAAGTAAGAATGAGGTGAGAAAACAAATTGTCAAAAAAGCCAAGTACTTATGGTAAGTTCATTTCAAGACTTGCAAAGAGGCTTGCAAGTAATCTCAGGGCTGGCCATTCTTCAGCTGCCCCTGAGAAGTTGCCCATTCTCCCGGAGTTGGGCAAGTGGAGCAGTTATCCCAGGAAGCTTTATCTCATTAACCAGCCATTCATATCCTAGTCTGCTGGCTCCAGATCATATAGTTTGCAAGATAATATTGTTCACGCTTCCCTTATTAGCAGTGTTAGAGCTCTGGAGTTCACTGAAAAGCCCATCTTCGATGGCCCCCTTCGGCTCACTGTTCATACTGTAGTCTCATGTTGTGGAGGGATTAAGATGTTTCTACTTTTGTGACCCTCTTGACACCACAGTGCAAACCTTTATGCAGGAAGTAGGTTGTTTCCTTGGGAAAGGCCCAAAGAAGGGAAAAGTCCTTTGCTCTGTCAAAGGGCCCAGAACTTTGCAGGGCTCTCCTCATGACTCTCATGAGCAGCATGAAGTTATGTATGTACGAAAGGCCTTTTCTGAAAAGTGACCCTATTACTCAATATCAATATACTTCTCAAAAGAGCCTTTTGCATGCTGATATATAAAGAGATTATGCTTGTATCATTAGCCCTCTGTATTTGTGTTTTCACATCATAGAGTCCACCAATTATGAACTGAAAATATTCAAATGAAAAAAATGTATGCACACTGTACTGTTTTTCCATCTCATCATCCCTTCAACAATACAGTCGAACAGCAATTTACATAACATTTACATTGCATTAGCTATTGTAAGTAGTTTAGATTATATGGGAGGAAGTGTTTAGGTTTATATGCAAATATGGTGTTTATATAAGAGAATAGAATATCCTTGAACTCTGTTATCTGCACGGGCTCCTGGAACTGGTCTCTTCTGGGCATCTGGGAATAGTCATTCAGCAAAATAAATACATTTAGGAACCTGTCCAAACCAGAAAAAAGACTGTTCTGGGTCAAAGGTGCCTTGCAACTATTTATTTCCTTTATATCTGATTCTGATATGAGAAGCCCCCCCTTGCCTTTGATTATTGCCTCTGCTGGTAGACCCATAGCAACTAGCTTTTGTAAGCTGGAGGGATGATGTTGACTCTTGTGTGTGGATGCTTTTATATGGACCATCATTTCCAGAAAGGCAGGAAATGATCACATTATTACTAATGGTAGGAATCAGACCCGGAAGAGTTAATTAACTTACCCATTAGGTCACAGTAAAGAAGCAGTGGAGTCTTGTGTCATTCACCCAGTGTCACCTGCCAGGACTAGCAGGGCTTGGTGCAGAACGGAAACACATGTTTCATTATTAAAAAGTAGTTAAGAATATCAACATGGTAGCATCAGAACATTTAAACAAGCACAGGACTGACTATGGAAGGTCTCTTAGGGTTTACAGCTGTCAGGGAAATAATATGGGCAAGAGAAGAATGAATCTCAGTTTCATCTGATTTAGGTAGCTGTTGCTAGTCCAAGACTTCAAGAGTCTGACGCCAGATCATTTACTTTAGCCGTATTTAAGCACAGAACAATTTTGGAAAGATGTTTTCTGATAACAATTAACTCAGTCCCAAGTAAGCAATAAATTTAAGACGTGTTTACCTTGAGATTCTTTGCAAAGTAGATGTTGCTTTTTTCCTCAAAGACAAGTTCTGTTGATTCTGATATAGTGTCCAAGATTTAGGGTCTAGGTAGAAGAACTGAGGTAAACATAATGCCCGTGAGTGTCAGGATTGGCCTGACCCTAAGATAACATAGAAGTCACCTTTTTGTAAAGTTCAAGTGACACCACTGAGTTTTATGGAATAGAAATCATGTTCAAGATTTAAGTTTGGAATAAGTGAAGCATAAATTGTGGGAAATAAGGTCAGAGCCTGGCTCATCAGACAAGCAAGGATCACCAGGTTGTAAACTCCAGCCATTCCTAGCATTTTAGGAGGGACAGCTATATACCTCATTCCTCTGAAGAGATGTCATTTTTATGATTTCCCCAGTGCTTATCTATGTGCACAAAGACTCTTTTGCCCTCAACACAGGACATTTCTAAGTGTGAGGTCCTGTTTGACTTGCAGAGCTCCTGCATGCAATACAACATCCTTGCAGGTGCGGACAGGTGGCTTTCACAGTCATGGTGTTGCAAAGATTTGATCTGGGCACCTAAGAAGCATGTGGAAAGTTCTTTGTGTCTCAGGATCACGTCTTTAAACACTTGCTTTTTCCTTAAGGACTTTGAGATGTTTTCTACTCAGGGGTGATCAGATCCAAGACCCATCTGGTCCTCTGCTACAACAACCTCGTTGTTTCTCAGTGTTCCTGTTCAGCTGGCCATCTTTTGCTTAGAGTCAGAAGTGCTGGTTGGTAGATGGCCTTCCGGACTGCCTTTGCTCTCCCTATGTCTACTTCCAGTGTGCCAGTTTAGTTTTTTTTTTTTTTTTTTTTTTGAGCAGCAGGTGAAGTGCTCTATTTCTCAGCCTCAATGGTATTTTGCTGCCTAAGAAGTACCTCATTTACCACCCAGCCGGCATGATCATGGATCCACTTAAGTCATTGAGCTAATGCATCTCAAGGTACAAACACACACACACACACACACACACATTGTGTCAACTGTATACATTAATACATTCATACATACATACATGCATGCATGCACGCATATTTGAACTTTGTCTTATTAACACCCTTACTGGAGAACTTCGATTTTATTTTACTTTGCTATTCTAATCTGTGAAATATTGGCCAGTTCTACTACTGCTACCACCAAATACTCTTCTGGTTCACATTTTCCTTGAATGTTTTCAATACCCTAAGTCTTGGAGAGATTCCACGGGTCTAAGGACAGTGGGGTATTATGAGGTGGATATGAAACCTCCTTACTTTTCGCTGGTGCTTCTATGGTGACACCTGCATCCTCTGTGAGCACACTCAGGACATGTGTAGAGCTTGTCTGGATGAATAAATGCACACTTAGCAGGGACAGGGCTTCCGTTTGCTTACGTCTGCAATATCTTTCTGAGATGGGCTAAAAGAAAACCTGTATATCCTGAAATAAGGCTGTCGCAAGACAGCCAAGCTAAAATTGTTAGTGTCTCTACAAGTTTCTAGAATGTTTCCAAGGCTCACCTCCAGCCCCTATGATGTGAGGCTGCAGGGGCATGCTCGTTCTCTTTCTAACAGAGTAAGTGCGTGAAAATCAGACTAATCTAGGTGAGTTTGCTTAGCAAGATCGTTTTGTGTAAGCTCCTAAAAGCATTAGAGAAGTCCCAGGAGCTTTGTTGCACATTTAAATCAACATGATAGTGAGCAAAAGAAAATAAGATTAGGAAGTCTTGCCTGCACACTCATCTAAGAAATGGAAAGAGAAGTTTAAATAAGCTGTGGTAAGAGGTTTGAATGATTCTGAACAGAAAATTGCTAAGGAAAACAGCCAAGTGACTCATCCCAAGCAGGGTCTAACAGCGAGCTCTGCAGGCCCATGGGAGCATGAATGATGGACAACCAAGAACGAGTTTTCTTTTCTGGTCATGCTGAGAACTTTGTTCTTTTCTGCTATGTTCTCTAATGTGTCTCTTGCCATGGACCAATACCTCATCCATTGCATGGATTCAAAACCAGGCCCCACTTAAACTGTCTGAATTGGGGAGAAGGTTAATTGGCTGTTTTAAGTGTGTAATGCTAATTGTCAAGAAAATGAATATCAATTACATCTTATGTAAATTGTACTAATATTATAAGCCCCTTTTATATGGAATAAGGCTGTCCTAGTTAGGGTTTCTATTGCTGTGAAGAGACACCAGGGCCACAAAAACTCTTACAAAGGATAACATCTAATTGGGGCTGGCTTACAGCTTTAGAGGCTTAGTCCATTATCATCATAGCAGGAAGCATGGCCTGCAGGCAGCCGGTGCTGGAGAAGGAGCTGAGAGTTCTATATCTGGATCCTTGGGCAGCAGGAAGAGACGCCATAATGCGCCTAGCTTGGTGAGACTTTACAGCCTCCTCCCAGTGACATGCTTCCTCTGACAAGGCCTTACCTCTTCATAGTGCCACTCCCTATGAGCATATGGGGGCTATTTTCTTCCAAACCACTATAAAGTCTAATACTCATGATACTTGAATTACTTACATAATGGCAAGCCTCTTAAGAATGCAGATGTTCACCGGGCGATGGTGGCGCATGCCTTTAATCCCAGCACTCGAGAGGCAGAGACAGGTGGATCTCTGTGAGTTCGAGACCAGCCTGGTCTACAGAGCTAGTTCCAGGACAGGCTCCAAAGCCACAGAGAAGCCCTGTCTTGAAAAACCAAAAAAAAAAAAAAAAAAAAGAAAGAAAGAAAGAAAGAAAAAAGAATGCAGATGTTCATATTTTCAAACAACTATACTCTGTGAAACTCATTTTAATTGGCCTGACTATAGACGGAATCTTTCGTGTTCAAACATAGATTCCATCCACAAACATTTATTTGGCTCTGATGGTTCTGGGTGCAAGGGTAGTGGGTGGAGATACAAGAGCTGGTGATTGTGTGCCATTTCTAATAAAGAGAGCTGGGCACAACTAGACTTCACTGTCAATGGGGGAAAGAGACACAGAGGCTTTGCTTACTCATCAGGTTTCCTGGGCTAGGGAAAGGCAAGCCTTTGTCCCATCTGAGTTTGTAGTAGACCATATTTCTTTTTTAATGTTCAATACCTACTGCTCTGAGAGCAGATGTTGAACACAGTGAGACCAGGCAAAGAGGATACCTGTGGGATGATACTATAAGAAGGGGCTTTTGTCTACAGAGGCAAAGATGAATTTTTTTTTTTAATTTTTTATTGAGAAAAAGAAAAAAAAAAGTTTCCGCCTCCTCCCAGCCAAAGGTGAAAATTTTTGTGTCCATGATGTGTGCCATTTTTTAAAAGTATCATTTCCATTAGAAACACAATTCAGGCCGACCACACATTTCTTAAGTATATTAAGTTCTTGGAAACATGGAGACTATTTATATGGAGAAAAGCGAGGGGGCACTGCTTTGCAATGTAAAGGGCTTTGGAGAACATGAATTCCGAGGATCATTTGGTCAATGCTCTACTTTCTCTGCCATCTCACTGCTTTCCCTCTTTTTCTCTCCACTCTTTCTTCCCAGGGTATGGGAACATTGCTCCAAGCACTGAAGGAGGCAAAATCTTTTGTATTTTATATGCCATCTTTGGGATTCCGCTCTTTGGTTTCTTATTGGCTGGAATTGGAGACCAACTTGGAACCATCTTTGGCAAAAGCATTGCAAGAGTGGAAAAGGTTTTCCGAGTGAGTACTGCACCAATTTAAACCCTCATTACCAGATTCGTTGGCTTTGGCCTAATACGGTTTAGAAGCAGCAGCAAGGGCTCTGTCCAAATGAAAGAGCTGGATGCTATGAGCGCATTTTACCTTTTGGCCAATGGTAGAAAGAGGATTGTACCTAAATGTCTTTTTCTGGAATACCTTCCTGCCTTGTGGTGGGTGGTATAAGTACTTGTGGTGGTATGTGAGTACAAAATCGAAGAAGGTTAAGTGTGGGCTTTCAACACAGGTATCCCCAACAGAGGTGAGGCACACTCAACGCCTTAGTCTGTTTACGTTTCTCTGATGAAAAGCCCGAGGCTGGAAGGCACATACACAGCAGAAACTTACTCCCCACAGGTTGGAGACTGGATGTATAAGATTAGGTGCAGGTGCCTGGTGAGAGGCTGCGCTCCACTCTCAAGGTGCAATTGTCACTGTGACCTCTAGAGAGAAGGGTGCTAAGGCCCCATGTGGTGGATGGATGGAAAGGAAAAAGGGTTTGACACTGGAGGATGACTCTTTTGTAAGGGCTATTACTTCATTGGTGGAGGAGCCCTCATGACTTAACCCCTTTGAAGGCCTCACCTTTAAAGATCACATTAGCCAACACCTGTCACATTTGAACCATAGCTTAGCGCCCCTTAAAGATGCAAGGTGGCAAGCAGGCTGAAAGGTACTCTGGGGACCCCAAAAGTTGAGTTTAATCTCCAGAACCTACATGGTCATAAGAGAGCCGACCCTTACAAATTATCTCTTGACTTCCACTTATGGGTTATGTTTACATTTGCATGTGTATATGTGCATATGCACATACAAACACTTAACAAATGGAAAAGATGGAAGATGATTTCTTTGCTGTTTTTAAAATGATGTAGAGAAATACAAACCCATTGTTTCATTGTTAGAATCCCTTCATTTGTTTAACTCCTGCAGTGTCTCCAGGGCATCCTGGATTCTGAACTTCTCTGTCCTCTGTTCTGTGCTTCCTGTCTCTTGCTTCATGGCTCCTCCTCGTTCTGCCTCTCGGTGCTGAACATTCCCTCAACAACTGGACACCAAATCTCTCCTTTATGCTAAGGCGTGGAACATTGCTATTCTTTTAGTACCTATTTTCCTCTTCAGAACATTGACTTGAGGAGTTTATTTGCTAATGATAAGTTTGACCTCTGTAGCAGGCATGTATGACAGATGTGAGGGGTCTAAGGTTGCCAATGCCCTTTAACTCATTCCTGGTCATTTGACTTAATAAAACTTGTGGTTAGCTTAGCCATTTCTGTGCTCTTACTTAATTTTGATGTCATTCTCACGTCTTTCTGTCCTTCATCAGATGCATAGCTGGGTCATAGTCACATTCAAAAACCCAACAGTCCTGTGAAGTTGCCTCCATTTCTTTATCAGCAAAAGGCGACAGAGCCCAGAACAACTTTAGAAAGCTTTGGTGATGGTTAAATGGAATAAGGGGTTGGCAGGAACTTGGCCCAGGACCAGAAACAGAGCTCAGAGCTGCTGTCCCTTCTGAGAGGAGAGCTCGCTGGCAGGCTAGCCACTCACTCAGATTTGTGTATATGTGAATTTTTCTGGAATGTCCCACAGCCTTTGCTCCCTGGGTGCTGGCTGAATAGCCAGCCTCATTAGAATGTGCACCTGTCTCCTCAGCAGTCACCATGGAAACCATGGTGCTCAGTTTCTCAAATGTTTAGGTCTTCTTAACTCCAGACACAGCGACTTTGTCTACAAAGGGCTGTTTTGAACTCTTCGGAGGTGATTCTTAGCCATTGGCACAGCCCTTTGAGTTAGGGAAAAATAGATGCAGTAGCTGAACACTCAGAAGAAACAGGAATGTTCTTAGAGCATTCCCATGGAGAAACCACAGATTTGGCATTTCCCCCTTTTTGTTGTGGCTCCTCTTGGTTTCAGTTTCCTTGGTCAAAGAAGAAAGGGTTAGATTGTAGCTTTTAAATCCCCCTGAGCAAATTTAGTTATTGTATTCTACACGAGGCGAGAGATTGCAATCATTTTACTGCTTAGACTACCAGTGGGAGCATGCTATTGTCTTTTGAGTTGTTTCCAGAAGGCCCTTCAGTAGACTCTGGTCAAGCCTGAGCCTTTCCACATTTCACTTTTATGCTGATGGCCCATTCAGGTTCTTGCAGCACCGGCAAAGACAGAAAGTTATGCAGGAAGGTGAGCAGACATGTCTTACATCAACAAGGCCAAAGTCAAGTTACTTTTCCCGGGGTGGGTACTCTTTCTATTCAACTTAGATGGAGAAAGTAATTTCAAACCAAAGCAATAATTCCATCTAAGCCTAGCTGAGTTTGGGGTTGCTTACAGGAGCGTGCACGATGGGTTACTTACAGAAGCGTGAGTGACTCAGGCAGCTGCATTACTAAAACCTCTAAGGGTGTTAACTTACAAAAGCTGCACAGTGGAGCTCCCTGCGCAGTTTGTGGGTAGCTAGACTACCAAGTCTCCTTCTCAGGGGTTGCTTACTGATTATTAAACCTCAGCAGGGTCCTCACAAATACTGGGAATTTCATGAGTTGCGATCCACTCTGTATCCCCCACAGGGCAATGTTTCCATCTGGAGGAAATAGCTACAAACATGGTTCTTTGTGGTTATAGGACAGAAAACCCTGTTTCCTTGATGGTTTGTAAGTAGGAGCCTTTAGTTGGTTTTTGTTTTTTGTTTTTTCTTTTGTGTGTGTGTGTGTGTGTGTGTGTGTGTGTGTGTATTGTGAAGAGGCACCATGACCACAGCAACTCTTATAAAGAAAACATTTAATTGGGATGGGTTAATTACAATTTCAGAGGTTCAGTCCGTTATCATCATGGCAGGGAGCATGGCAGCGTGCAGGCAGATGTGATGTTGGTTACATCTTGATATGCAGGCCACAAGAAGTCTACTGAGACGCTCAGCTGTATCCTGAGCATAGGAAACCTCAAAGCCTGCCCCCACAATGACACACTTCCTCTAAGAAGACCATTCCCACTCCAAGAAAGCCACACCTCCTAGTGGTGCCACTCCCCATGAGATTATGAGGGCAAATTACATTCAAACTACCACATCTCACTCCCTGGCCCCCATAAATTTGTAACGGGTATCATCACGCAAAATACGTTTAGTCCATTTTCAAAAGTCCCCTTAGTCTGTCACATTCTCAACGATGTTTAAAAGTACAAAGTTCAAAGCCTTTTCTTTTACTTTATAAAGTAAAAATAAAAAAAGAAAATCACATATTTCTAATATGTAAAGGCACAAGATATACATTGCCATTCCAAACCACAGGGAAGGGATCATAGTGGGGAAATACTGGACCAAAGCAAGACCTAAACCCAGCTGGGCAAACTCCAGACTCTGCATCTCCATGTCTGATGCCAAAACGCTCTTCAGATCTCCAACTCCATTCAGCTTTGTTGACCGGAGCACACTTCTTTCTCCTTGGCAGTTTCCGCTCCCAGTTAGCGGCTCTCCCTGGCAGGTATCCCACAGCACTGGCGTCTCTCACATTTTAGGTCCTCCAAGGCAATCTAGGATTCAAGTTCACAGTTTCACTCAACGACTTCTCTGGGCCTCTTTTCAGGGACACCCCTGGCACACGCCTGGCCTCAGTGACTTTCTTTGGGCAATGGAGGCAAATTCCATAACTCCTTTCTTCTGTGCTTAACTCTAAAGTCAGAACCACGTGGTCAAAGCTGCCAAGTTCTGCTGCTTACTGAGGCTGGAGCATGGTTCCCTCATTCAGTTGCATCTTTACCAGCGTTCTGTCCTTCACTGTCTAAGCTTGGCTGTGATGAAACGCTCTGTGGACTAGGCTTGCCTCAAACTCAGAGATTTACCAGCCCCATCTTCCCAGTGCTCGAATTAAAGGTGTGCCCCACCATACCCAGCTCTAAGCTTTTCTCTAGTTCCTTTTCACAAGTCGAAACCGTAGCTGGGTGGGATCTTGCCCTGAGAGCACCGTTCCCTTTGTTTTATTTCTTAATCTGTTCATCTCCTTGAACACAGGAGTTAGCTTTATTCCACTTCCTGGTGCTCGTTCCTCCACAAAATTGTCATTTTGTAATTTACCCTGCTCAGCTTGCTCCTCTTCATTATAAATTTTCATTAGGGTTACCACTAATAGCCACATGACAGTCTATAATAGGCTGTTTCGAGATTTCCACTGCCATTTGAACTAATTCAAAACTTAATCCAAAATTCTTCGCTTTAGCCTCAGGCAGACTCTTCAGATAAGGACAAAAGGCAGCCACTTTCTTCACCAAAATATTGCAAGAAAAATCTCTAGGCCATATACTAAATTTTTTCTCTGAAACTTCTTGAGTGAGCCTCCAAGAGTTCAAATAACTTAACACCTCTGTCTTCCATGTTCCTACTAGTATGGTCTATTAAGTAGTACTTAAAGCATTCCACTGCTTTTATAAGCCAAGGTACCAAAGTCCAATTTCCTCCAAACAAAAACACGGTCAGGTCTATCACAGCAATACCCCAGTATCTGCTACCAACCTGTTTTAGTTAGGGTTTTTATTGCTATGAAGAGACACCATAACCACAACAACTCTTATTTTTTTTTAATATTTATTTATTTATTTATTATATTATGTGTA